TTAGAGTATATATTCTTTTAATATTATTTAGTTTATTTCCTTACTTTGATAAATTAACATATGCATGGAGTCCATATATGTTAGGAGCCTCAATAACATTTGGATTATTATGTATATATGCTATATTTACATTGTGTTGGAACTTAAGAAAGATGAAATTTATGATATCTCTTGTTAAATTGGCAACAACATTCTTGTATTAAAATAAAACTATTATCATTGTGCCTATAGTATTCTTTTTCTTAGTAATGTCTACTTTATTAATATGGATTGCAAGTGCTTTGGCAGTACTTTCAGAATAATAAATTGATTATTCATCAGATTAATAAATTTATCCCTTTGAAAAGATTTAACTCAAATTTGATACTTTAATTAAATTAATGATTACTATACTTGCTTTAATTTGGTTAATGCAATATATACTATCATTGGCCAGATTTCTTAATGCTTCAACTGCCACTCTCTGGTATTTTCATGCATCTTCCAATAAAGGATTTGTATATGATAGTTTTAAATTAGCTGTTAGATATCATAATGGTAGTATCACAGCTGAAGCAATTTACAGCTTCTTTTTCAGTGGTATATCAAAAGCATTCAATCTAATTTATGTAAAATTATAAATTACATGATAGGATTCACTTAATAGATGCAGATTAAAGAGACATAATATTATATTAAATTGTTTTGCATCAATTTCTTTGTGTTTATGTTGTCTTTGTGAGAATTTTATTATGTACATTAACAATTATGCTTTTGTATATATTGTAATGACATCAGCAGATTACTTTGAATCAAGTAAAGCTGTTCATTTTACAATCAAAAGAAATTATTAAGATTTTGAAACTCTTTCAGGATTGGGAGAATAATTTACTCATTATAGCAAAATGTTTATATTTCTAGTAACAACTCTTGGAACATTCATTTATGTAAAGGAATAGACTGATTTTACACTTTAATTGTATACTTTTGCAATTATTGCATTTATAACATTGTCAATAGCCACTCTATTTATGGATATGTTTGGATAAAGTGCAGATGCCTTAGTACTTACATACTTTACTGATTGTGAAGTGTAAAAGTATCATTTTGGACTTGAGGAGTGTGGTTCGTGTCCATCATAAATAAGGGATTAAGTTTAACACATAAGAGAAAAATAAAAGATTTACTATGGTTGAAGTAGATAATATGTAGAATCTAATTTAATTAATATATCAAATTAATATATGCATATTATATATTATCATAATACAATTACTCAAAAATTCATAAGATTTAAAAAAAATAGGGTTTTTATGAACTCTATTTATTTTCAGTAAATTAAGATATTAAATATTTTAATTATTAAATACATTATTTGTAAAATGAAGTACTTTTTTTAATATCAAATAGTTTTCATTAAATAGAATAATTTTATAATTCAAATAAATTAAATTTTAGAGCTCTATAAATGGTTAGTTTAGTTTCTTTGGGTTATTAATATTCTTATATATATTTTGTTTTAGAACCTTAGTAAGATTTAGATTTATGTATATTTAATAAAAAATATTAGTGATATAAGATTAAGATTAAGATAATTATTATATTATTTAATAATTTATCATAACAATTGAGTTAGGATTAAATAGTCTATTGTTTTGTTATTCAGATTCATTGGCTTCAATTTCATTTTCATTTTCTTAATTACTTAAGGTTTCTAATTGTAATATTCTATTTCTACTAGTTTTAGCATGTTCAGGTAAAATATTAAAATCTAAATATTTTTAAATGAGATCATCCAATATATTTCCCATATGATCAAATGATATTTCTGTATATTTATCTTATAAATTATATTATCTAATAGTCTACAAAATAGTATATTGTAAAGCATCAATTTGTAATTTAAATAATTTAGCTTTACAAATTGGACATCTCCATTTTCTTGGATTTGAAAATTCAAGCATCATTAAATAATTTTCTA